TTTGATATATATATTTTTTTAATTATGAGTATTTCATGAGGTATTGGTGAACTGTTGTTTCGAAAAGTTGTTTTAGAATACATCTCGGATACTTGCTATTTTTCTGTAATTCTAAAAGGACGACATCGGCTCAAAAAATTAACCCAGTGATGCTTTCTTAAAAAAAAAAAACCTTATATTCATTTGTTGACGTAAATATTTTCTGCTAAAGGCTAAAAATGTAAACCTTAAATGTTACTTTACATCTTTAATGCCTAGATGTAGTGTTCATTACGACTGTTACCTTAGTCTTTCTGTGTAGTGCCCTATTCAGCAACATTAGCCATTTCGGTCAATATGTAGTATAAGGTAGTGGCAGAGTTGGGTAATAAAACCTACATGAAATGATAGAACAATACAAACCAAGACAAAGTTCTTCTATGGCAATATGTGTGTAAATGCTTCCCAAGGGTGCTATACGTAAAAGAAAAGAGAACTTGAAGAACTTTGTCTTGGTTTGTATTGTTCTATCACTTCATGTAGGTTTTATTACCCATCTCTGCCACTACCTTTTTACTACATATTGTCCACCATTTCATTAGTTATCTTTGAGTAACAATATTATCCCCTTCCTGACAAACTGCTTGAAAGCTGGCGTGCGGCTGTACGCCGCGGCGGCCAGTGATTCGGGCTGATGTACCGAACTCATGCGCTCAAAGTTGGCGCGCGGCCATTGTTTGCCAGAGCGTAGAGTTTTTTATTTTGTTTTCTTCACCCGTCACCATTGGGTTAAACATGAACGTTTGTGTGCAGTGTCAAGACTCCTTGCCTCCCTTTTGACATGTTTGTTATCTCTTTTTCTGCAGAAGCTGCTTCTTGTTCTTCTTGTTCTTCTTCCATTTTCCAATTTCTTCCATTTGTCATTTTATATGCTGCATTAAGAGAATAATAGATGGTATCCTTGGATACACTTCACGTCATCTCTCTAGGTAGTCTGTAAGTTAGACTACCTAGAGAGAATCATATTATAATTCTCTACAATAACAGTAACAGTAAGTAACATTGTTATTTGAATAATTATTTTTGGTAAATCTTTACAGTATGGATGCACTTGCTAAAGACGAAGTACCTAACTCCACATCACAAAATCTATTCAACAATCTAAGTTGCTGTGAAGCCTGAGGGGAAGATTGATAGGGGACTCCACCTTTTTTTCCCATATTCAATTTTCTGTGATACACTGATGTGCTGGTCATGGCAGGCAGGAATAAGATCCTGAGCATAGAAATAGTCTGTGCCCAGCAACTGATGCTCCTCCAGTCATTACTCACAGAGGGTACATTTCATACTCATTTACTGATGGAAATAATGCAAGAGCCTCTTCCTGCTCACTGAGTTTAACCCATTTGCGACGGGCATGTCATGTGTCTGTGCCATGCCCATTGAGAGTTTACTTGTTTAATTGTTTTAACACATAGATAGCTACACTTGTACTAAATCACCAATGAGCCAGTTACGAATACTGCCTGTCTCACCCTTTTACCCTTTTCTTTAATTTACGAAAATATTTTATTTTATTTTGCTATTACTAATGTTTATAACATTATAGTAATTATAATGTTTATAATAAAAATAACACCATCGATATTCATAGCACTAGTAAAAAATACATTTTCCTGCCAATTCAAGGAAAGGTGAAATCAGGTAAAGCAGAGCCATCTATGTGTAGACATTTCACAAAAAATATAAAAAATGAGCACAGCATTTTCCCCATTTTTTATTTATTTTCCTCGGCAGCAATGGGTTAATAACCCTCCAAGAACTTCATGCACTTGTTCCAGTCACCCTGGCCTTTAGCAGAAATTCTCATGGCAGCATATTCATGTCACCAGGCCCTCAGCCAGATTTTTCCATGAAGGCATATTCATATTATCCAGTCTGCAGCCAGATTTGTTCACAGCGTAATCGTTATACCATCTGGATTCAAGGGCATAAAGATATCTGCCAACAAGTATGAGATAATCTCACATAAGACTATATATATTTCTTAGTGCATATATGTATGTGAAATTCAGGAAAATGCTGCTAATCAGAAAGAAGTTAGTGTGGTTATACTGAGGGTAAAATGATATGGATATACTCCCTAGATACAAAGCCCCAACTCCACATCACAAAATTAATTAAACAGTATGTTGCTGTGACTACTTGCCTTGCAATTAGCCAACTAATCATGTATTCAAAGACGTGTTTAGTTTTAAACAAATGTGGGTAGTGGTAGTACTATTTTTTTTGTACAGATATTTAGGAAAAGCAACAGTTGACAGTAGCATAAGGTTCTGGGTATGAACTCCATATCACCGGGGAAATTCTGTGCTTATTTAATTATTTTTTGTGAAATGCCTGCACATAGATGGTTCTGCCAATGCTTAGCCAGAAAGGAGTCAGTTAGTAGACCTTGTGACCTTACCTGATTCCACCTTTCCTTGAATTGGTGGGAAAAATGTTCTTATTTACTAATGCTATAGATATCAATGGTATTATTTTTATAATAGACATTATAATTACTGTTATGTTATAGATAATAGTAACAGTAATACAAGATAACGTAAAATATTTTTGACAATCGAAGAAAAGAGTAAACAGGTAAGACAGGCAGTACTCGTAATTGGCTTTTAGGGACTTGGTACTTGCGGAGCAATCTATGTGTAAAAATAATTAATAAATTAAAATCACGGTGGGCATGGCATGTATGTATATGCCATCCCCAATGGCACTAGTTAAGCAGCCATTACTTAATTACATTCTTTACTCTATATTCTTTGGCATGAACGGTTTTCAGCTGTGTGCTGTGATTCTGAATATGAACAGAAATTCAAAATATAAGTGACATGCATAGACAACATGCACAACTAAACAAGGGGTGGTCAAATGTTTGATGATCACTGGTTGTCTGTCTCAAAACAAGGCAAGAGAATGATATGATTAAGAAAGACAAGGAAAAGGTGTATGGATATGAGCCAACCATCAGTACTAGATATAGAGATAGAAGAAAATGTTCACTAACATCTTTTAGGGCATAAAAAATGGTAATAAACACAGGACATTGCTGCAGTGGCCAGCTATGAGTACTAACTGTCTCACTTATTTACCCTTTTTCCTTTTTTTTTATACTACAGTGAACACAAATTTCTTGGTGACATTAAGTTATTAAACAGTGGTACATATATATATATATATATATATATATATATATATATATATATATATATATATATATATATATATATATATATATATATATATATATATATATATATAAACTGAATTGTGAAAACTTAAAAAAAAAAATTGTTACACTTCTCTGTTTGCATAGTATTGTATGAATTGTATTGAATTGTAAAAAATAAAGAAATTACTGTGGAGGACTGAAAATCAGTTTTTTGAAATTAACAACCCATTTATAAGTTTATCTGTTTTTTCTATTGAAGCATTTGATATGTTATGATAGCTACCATGGTGTTTTCTAATAAGGTTTTTTACTATTCAAACTGATGGTTGTTAGATGCTCACAATACTGGAAACCAATAGCTAGTCTTCTTAGATTATTAATACTGTTATTCATTCATTCATTCATTCATTCATTCATTCATTTTATTTATTTTAATTTTTTTCCTCCTCAGAGTCGGTGGTGGTTAAGAACAGAGAAGAGTATCCCTGGTACCACCGGCAATTCCGCCGTGTCCCCACGATCGACGAGTGCTACACTGACGACATTGTCTGCTACATTGAAGCAGATGAACAGTTCAAGCGAGACAGGTAAAGGGCACGAGTAATTTACATCAGTATTTAAAGTAGCCTTGGGTTCTAGATGCAAAAGGTTCATTGGTCTGATTTGTCCCTTTTCTTTTCTTTTGTGTGCATGTGTGTGTGTGTTTGTAGAATTTAAGCCAATCTTGTAGGGACATATATCTGATTTTGCTTGAATTTCATTATGCTATATTAAGTGAATTTTATCATGATGGTATTTCATTATGTTAACATGGTGTACACTGCCATATTCAGTGGGACAGTTGCATTGACTGTTGAAATGTAGTAGAATGCTAATTTCTTTGGCTCATAGACTAGTGTTAGAACAGCCTTTTTTCTTTCTTTTTCTTTTTTCTTTTCATGGCTTGAGTAAAAAACATTTTCATGCTAGTATGAAAGGAAGTTCATGTTCCAAAGGGTTGGAAACACTTTTCATTATGAGAAAAAAATTCTCTTTTAAGAAACACAATTTGGAAATAGATTATGAATATATAGCACTTCTTTCATGTGTCTGTTTGAACATTTTTTGGAGTTTTAATTTTTCTACAGAATATGGATTATGGTTGTCATTGTACATTTTTTGAAGATTTTTCTTTCTCACAGAATGGTTGACAATGAAGTCCTGAACATTCTACGTCAGCGCAAGGAGGACTGTGTTATGTACGAGGGCGCAGACAGCAAAACTAAGTGTGCAAAGTTGTTGGAGGATTATGACAAGGCAGCTGAAAACTGGTTTATTAAGTGTAAGTGCTGTTCATGGGTCTAGATGACTTAGCTAGTTTATTTAAGTGGTCATTTATTAGTGTATTTAACCTGTAAAGTTGCAAGGATACTTGTGTGTATTTGTACTATTGACATTTGATCAGAGCCAGATCAGTGAAGCATTGCCTCTCAAAAGCAGGCTAGTTGTTTTCTTTCTTTCTTTCTTCCTTTCTTTTTTTCTCTTTCTTTCATTTTGTCTCTCTTTGTTAAGTAGGGAATGTGAGAAAATAACTCTTATTACCTTTTGGGAAAGTTGTTCCACCTACACTCCCCCAAAGCCACTCTTATGCCCTCATTTCCTTGTATTGCTTTGTACTCCCCATCTCCCTTGTGACAAATGAACCTAGCAAGTATAAGATAAGATTTCTCCTAAGGTGTGGTCTGGTCACTTTCCAAAAATGCCTCCATTGCCCCATATCCTTTATATCCTCTTGTTCCTTTTGAACTGAATATTGGATATACCAACATGAGATGTGCAATTCCTGGCGTAGAAATGTGAGCTGTACAAACATCACGGATCAAAATTGGCTGTGGTCGAGTCTGGAAAATTTATGCTTTTTGTGGCTGGGAAGGAAGGGGAGCCCAAGGAATTGTGGCAAGCAACTCATTGGGTCCAGATGCTTCATTGTTATCACATAGCCCAAAATTTGGCAGAGTAGGCTTACTGGAGTGGCCACTCTAACATGTGTATGGCTTTTATGTACACAAACACACGTGTGTGGTGGCAAGACTTATTTTCCTTTTTTCTGTACAAGTGTTTTTTACTTGTTTATTTATTTATTTTTTTTACTTGTTTTTTTTTACTTGTCTCTTTAGTTGTCATTTGATTCATTTTATCCAGGAAGCAGTAGACTATCTTTCATGCACAGACTCCATATCATATCTCTAGGTAGTCCATAACTCGATGCATTAATGATAATAGTAAGTAGTATTTTGTTATTTGTTTTATTATTATTATTATTAATAATAATAATAATAATAATAATAATAATAATAATAATAATAATAATAATAATAATAATAATAATGATAATGATAATGATAATGATAATGATAATGATAATGATAATGATAATGATAATGATAATGATAATGATAATGATAATAATAATAATAATAATAATAATAATAATAATAATAATAATAATATATAATACATTAGGTTCCTGACTAGTCCCCTCCCTGGAGGTTGCACTCCACCAGTAATGGCTCACGGATCGTACATTCCACTCATTTATCAATGGAAATAATGCAAAAGGCCTTTCCTAAATGTCAGATGAGTAATCACCCTCCAGGAGCTTTGTGCACTCTTAAGTCATTTCCATCACCCCAGCCTTCAAGTGAAATGCTCACAATGGCAAGTTACCGTCCCCATGGCCTTTAGCCAAATTTTCCCTGTGACGGCATGTTCATTCACCTGCCCCTCAAACCAATGTTTTTTCATGACATGATGATCATGTCATCAGGATCATTGGGAAAAATTAATGAATACAGGGAAATTCAGCTGTTAAAGTCTCCATTTAGTTTACAAAGGGAGATCTTGTTCTTCCAAGAATATTGACATGACTAGAATGTTGTGCTTGCATTAGTTTCTCATTGGTTATCCAATGTCCTGACAAAGCCCTGTTACTAGCCCAAAGGCACATTGAAAACTGTTAGTTGCGAGCATCTCGCAAGTATAAACTCAAGAGAAGAATTAAAAATATTAGCTAGTAGACATTAGATCTTCTAACTAATACAGTACTGTAAATTAGCAAACTTTAGTTTCACTTGTTTATTACATTTTTGCTGTAAAAGTCTAATAGTGAGTAACAGTGTGCAAAACATGACATGTAACCACTGGCAAATCTCCTGTTTCTCAGTTACTTGGTAGAGCAAAATTTTTACTAGGTATGAAAAGACATCTGGCTGTGTACAGTGTCTGTACAACCTGACTTGTCATAGGGTGGTTCAGACTGATTTTGCAGGATCTTGCCTGCCAGAGGTATAGTTCTCTTTACAGATAGTGTGGTATGGCACGAGAGACTAGCAAAAACAGGTGTTATAAATTATTGACTTCTCATGACTGTACGCAATACAATAATCATCATTACTGTACACAATACAATAATCATCATTTAATCCTTCCAGATGGTGACCTAGGTGCTTATGGCAATGTGAAAGATGCCTACATGAAGCAGAAACACCGCCTTATCTGGGAGCGCCGTCATGGACCTGTGGGCTCAGGGATGAAGAGTGCCCTTTGAAATGTGCCCTTGGAGGACATTGAAAGATAGCATTAAGTAGGAGCCCTGATATTCCAAGGTTGTCACTCTTGATCTAAAAAGTGATTGGGTTCGAGTAGATGACGAGGTGTTCATCCTGTTTAGGGTTAATCTTTGTATGTCACTGCATGTAGAGGTTGACAGTTTTCATTCATACTGTGAACATGGATGTGTTAAAGAAGTTTGTCATTCAATCAGATGGACAACAATGCTTTGTAAAATCATCAGAAGCTGTACATAATAAATAGATTTTATTTGATGTGTGTTTTGCTTTTATTTGTCTTCATTCCATATTGTATTCTCACTTAAAGGTCTTGGCTGAGGAGAGGGAATCACTTGTAAGTTAAGAGAAAAGGTTCCATCATTTTTTATTTTTGTCCAACATTATTTTTTTTATAACTGAGGCTACACTAAATTTTTCTTGCATAGAGGGCCTGCCAATAATTGCTCATGGAAAAGCATTGTCTTTAAAATTCCCACACAAAAAAAATAATAATAAAATAAAAAGGACATTTTTGTGTTCTGTTCTAACTACAGTACACCAAGCTGTTGGGGTGGACCCTATGACAATTACATTCACATACCAGTAGTACTTCAAAACCTGGGATACGATGACCCAGCCAGAATGACATGTCAGTCTGATCTATCCAACTGAAGCTATATGGTTAAAGGAAACACTAGAAATTTTGTTTAAAAAGATGATAATTTTATTTTTCCCACCAATATTATTTTAAACTCGGAAGAGGAAATAATAATACTTAGACTAGTATTATTATTTTTTTTTTTTTCCCCTACCTCCTACATTATATATTTGGCTATGCAAGAAAGAAAATGGTGTGATGCTGTTATGTCTAAAAAAAATAATTATTAGTGTTATTGACACTAACAGCAATACTAGATACCAGAAAATATTTCTGAAAATCAAGGAAAATTGGTGAGACAGGTAGTACTCGTAACTGGTTCATATATGACTTGGTACTGGTAGAGCCATCTTTGTGAAAAAAAACAAACTATACTCTCGGTGGGCATGGCTTGTGTTCCATCTGCATTTGATGATTCTAATATTCAGAAATGATATTTCTTTTGTTATATTACAAAATACTTATATAGTGTATAATTGAAAAAGGGGAAAGATTTAATTTTTATAATTTTTTCATATGGACAACAGTTAAAAAATTTTACAAATTAATTTTTGTCAATATAAATATTTAACAATGAAAAAGTCATATATAACCAAGATATAAATTAATATAATTATACCTTCATTAATTTGAGCAGCTTGCTCTGTGTTTCATTAAATATAATGTGCACGTAACCATTTCTGCAACAGAAGAGCTACTAATGAATTTCCTGATGATGTAGAGTTGACCTATTTCTGTGCAGCCGATCTCCACCCGTGTGCATTCTCAAAGCCATTCTGTTGGAGGTTATAGTCTGTTATAGCCTCATTGATCTCCTCTTGTGTGTTCATGACGAAGGGACCGTACTGGGCCACAGGCTCTCCGATGGGCTGGCCTGTTGAAAGGGGAAGGGAATACTTTGGATGATTGACAATGCTATGGCCTGTCACACATGTGGAAGGGGAGGGTAGTAGGACAAAATCTCTACATTAATACAAGATTCAAGTATATTTCTTTTATAAAAATTAAAAGAAACCCATTGGATGAGAACTTGTGGGTTGTGACCTGCTATTACTAGGAATATATTATATTTTAGCCTTGTATTTTTTCTCTGCTATTAGTAATAATTATTTTTATTTTTTTAGCAGTGTAAGTTGTTGATCCTTATGGTCCATCAAAATTCCTATGTGGTAATTCTGTTACATACATAGAGGATTACCTATCATGATCATCACTGCTGTAATATATAAATATAAATGGAAACATGTGACAGTTAAATAAATTGTGTAATTTCATAAAGAAGATAAAATGGGAGAGGGAAAGCAAAAGGGAAAAAATACTGGAGAAAGGTGAAAACAGAAATAACAGAGATGAAAAATATGGCAGAAATGGAAATAAAAGAAAGAGAATACAGTCAAATGTGAGAAAACGGAAAATTTAGCAAAACAAAATAAAAATAAAAATAAAAAGACCTCCACTCACCTGCAATGAGGACGAAGTGCGCCTTGTCAGGACCCATATTGGTCACCTGGACGGAATCCCCATCACCGAGGACGAGTGTGTGGTGGGCCTCGCTCTCCACGTCCTCCTCCTCATCTTCACTTTCTAGAAAAGGAAAAATCCATTAATAACAATAACGATAAATAAACAAGATATAAAATGTGTTGATAAATGTCATGCATTCTTGGAGTGTATTGGATCAATATGACCATGCTGGTGGAATTCATACAAGATTTCGCTGGTATTCAGTACATGAATATACCTGCAAATATCTGGTCTTAAGTGGCTTTCCAGTTAGACCTGACTTCACCTTACATTCGATATCAAGAATAAACCAGACATGGCAAGTATGATCAAGTATCAACATTTTACAGTCTCTGCCACGCATTCCCCGCAATCCTTTGCTCGTTGTTGTAGGGGGCCTGGGAGACGGAGACTGAGGCCCAACGTAGGGGATCACCCCTGCCTTGGAACTCAGCCCTCGGTTCAACAAATTTTGCACGGTCATCTTTTCTTCTTTCCTTTTCCGTCTCTTTTTCATCCTCTACTTCTGTCCACTTATCCTGATTGTTCACCATTACCTAATTACCTAATTTGTTCCTCGTTCGCGCTCACTCACTCTGATATCACTACATTTCTAAAGCTATATATATATATATATATATATATATATATATATATATATATATATATATATGTATATATATATATATATATATATATATATATATATATATATATATATATATATATATATATATATATATATATATATATATATATATATATATGGTATGGATGAGAAAAAAATATAGTAGGAGGTGCAACTGACGCGTGTTTATATTATATGATCACAAACATTATATACACAAGACTATAAATTGAATATATTCACCCAGAGCCGATATGTCCCCTAGTGTGGATAACTTGTCGAAAGTACCGGGGAATGTAGGGCAGCTCCCATAAAATACATGATGGGAGACATCACAATTTGAACATGCTTGATTGCGCAGGGAAATTTGAACGTTTATAGCTAGGTTGGGCACACGGAGGAACAGCGGGCCATGGATCAACAATGCTTAACAGGATGGTCAAAACGCCAACATTTCTGACTGTGGAAGGGAAGGGGTTGATATGGACGGACAGGGCAGGACTCTCCACTTGCAAAAGCTTCAAGGGGGAGGTTATGTCTACGGAACGTAATTTTGGCAATATTGGTGTAGGATTTTCGGCGGCCTATGGGGTAGCTGCGAAAGCAATTACTTCGTTTTTGGAGACATTGTTGGAATAGAAGGGTTTATCATAATACGGGGCTGTAGGGGGATTAAAAAACGATTCCACTTGGCTGGAGTGGAAAGCGCATTTAAAAGATTTTTAAAGGAGGGAGTAGTTGAAAGACGAGGGCGGGAGGAAGAGGGAGTGGTTTTACATCTCAATGTTAATGCCGTTGTAAGCGCATGTTATGCATGTATGGTTGGTTACTGGGGGTGGGGGAAAGGATTAAGGTAGTGGTGGTGGTGTTCGAGTTTGTGAAGGTGCTTGTAATGTTATGTGTTCGTTTAACTTATGAGTGAAGGTTCTGAGTGTTTCAATGATGAGTTGGTGTAGCCTGTTCCAGTACATGGAAAAAGGAGTGCAAGTAAGAGGCGGTGTTGGTGTGGTATGCAAGAAACTTTGTTATGCGAGTTTCGCGCGCTATGTGCTGCTTGTAGGCAATCCTGTTTGATAATGTCCATAAGGTTGTTTGTAATCTTGTACATGATTGTAAATCTTTAAGAACTTAAAGAAGCGTTTAGGGTTGCTTGCGATGTTGGTGAAAATACGTTCGTGTTCCGCTTTCTCTGTTTTTGCAAAATGTTTTGGGGGATTTGAAAGCGGTCCAATTCCCCGGTGGGCTGTAGGTTTGCGTTGTATGTGTTTTCTGTGTAAGTGTTTTTGTATGTGAGTATGGGGTATTAAAGGCTATATCAATTAGAAGTAAAGGGTTTTGTGTGGGTTTATGTAAAGAAGTAGTCCATGCCGTAGTGATGTCCTGCGTGATTGTCTGGTTGGTCTGAGTCCTGCATCAACGAGGACAATGTCATGGGCGCCTTGTCCTGGGTGCTTGTTATGTCTAGAACCTCCCTTCTATATTATAACTCATCCTCCAGAAATCAACATTCTAAAATCCCTTTCCCGTTCCTAAACTTACGGATTTTAATCATGCCAGAGAGGACGTACAAAAACGCATTCCATGACTGTGGCACTTCCTGGATGAGTCTGGCGCCCGGCTGCTGCTCGAAGTCAAGGTAGTAGACGGGGGTGTGGGTTCGCACGGGGGACTGGATGCCCATGCTCTCTCCTGCGATCACTGTAGGGATGAGAGTAAATAGGGTTTGGTGTTATTTGATGTTTCTATTTTTCATCAGATCAAAAGTAAATTATCGCCTGGAGAAGATCATTCTCATCCGTACATCTTTCTCTTGCTGGCTTTTGTTGTAATCGGTACAGACGCGTTTCGAAGGGGGAGGGCAGGGGTTGCCACACCCTCTAAGTGCTTTTCTTTAAGCTAAATTTGATTATATTTTACTGGTCTAAACCTTTATTTCGACGCATTTGGATTGAAGAAATTCAATGTATCTGAAAAATTCCGAGGACAGTAACAAGTTCAAGGCTAAAAATTGATCTCAAATGATTTAGCTTAATTTTGGATTCATTCATTTTGTTGGGGAAGTAGCGGCCAACGCACTGATCACATCCTGTAAATATTTTTGGATACACTCAAGACTCGACTGCACCATTATTTTATTATTCTCTTAGAAGTGTCCTTATTTCAATAGTCCAAATTAACTGACATAATATCAATATGGGGAGTCATTACTGCTACTGCTGTTATTAATTAAGCTATTAAAATTGTAGCTATTATTAGACTTGCACACTCCTTCTAGCTTCTACAGCCGTGTATGACACGTGACAGTACTGTTGTACTATTACACATATTACTCACAACGTCGTGATTGCCAAAGCTTACCTTTGACAGAGGTCCCATCTTGCGCCGTGCTCGGGATTTCTGTTGCTAAGAGCTCCTGATAAGCTGTGGGAGACGAAATGTTATTGGTTCTGTCGATGCACACACACACACACACACACACACACACACACACACACACACACACACACACACACACACACACACACACACACACACACACACACACACACAACTATATCCATAACGTAAATTTCGAATATTACAAAAGTTCTCCGGTACACCAATCTACTTTAGCCGAAATAAAGTTAGCTACAATAGTATACCCCATCAGACAAAACAAGATAATCACTAATCACTAATAAAACTAAAAGGAAAAAAAAAAAAACAATATTGCAACAAAAAACGTACCGGGCTCAATTAACTTCTCTGCCTTGGGAAGGTTGACCCAGAGTTGTAGGCCTACATTCTCCCCATCGGTCGCCGGCATCTCCGAGTGGACAACGCCGCGTCCTGCCGTCATCCACTGCAACGAAGCGGGTTATTGTTAGTCGAGAAATAACGTAGGAGCAGAGGATATAGGGTGAATTTAAGTCTCTTTGTTCTTGGTTTCGTATTTCTGTTTCTTGTTGTTGTGGTTTCTTTTTTCTTCCGTCTCCCTGCTCTTGTCCTATATCGTCTCTCTTTTATTTATTTTTTTTCTTCTTTTCATCAATCTGCGTGAGTAGTAAAACTTTCTCTTTTTTCTCTTGGTTTTGATCACTTGTTTGGATTAAGCCCTGTTTGCCTGTCTCTCTCGCCCTCCCTCTTTCCCTTCTTTATTCATACCCTCTTCCTCTCACTTTCATTCTCCAATCACCTATATTTTAAACAGCAACCACTGACACCTTGATTTAGGTGGACATGGTGGCTGCGCAGACTGGACGAGTTTAGGATAAAAAAATGTCAATATATTACTAACTTCGGCTGCAGTAAGTAAGGTCTGAATCTGTTTGTCTGTCTCTCCCTCTCTCTTGTTCCTACTCTTCCCCATCCTGTTTCTTTCCCTCTTTTTCTTTCTGTCTGTCGCTGTCTCTGTTTCTGTTTCTGTGTGTGTGTGTGGGGGGGGGGGGTCTATCTGCCTCTGTCCTCTCTTACGCCTTCCCTTTCTCTCCCTTTTTCTCTCTTTTTGTCTATCTATCACTCACTCACACATACACATACACTCGTGTGTGTGTGTGTGTGTGTGTGTGTGTGTGTGTGTGAGTGTGTGTGTGTGTGTGTGTGTGTGAGTGTGTGTGTGTGTGTGTGTGTGTGTGTGTGTGTGTGTGTGTGTGTGTGTGTGTGTGTGTGTGTGTGTGTGTGTGTGCGTGTGTGCGCGCGCGCGCGCGCGTGCGCGTGCGTGCGTGCTCTCTCTTGCTCTTTCTCTGATCTCCCTCTTTATCTGTTAGTCTTTGTCTGTCTCAGTCTGCCTGGCTGTGCCTGTCTCTGTAGCTTGTTCTTGCTCTTTATCTGTCTACGTGTCTGTCCGTCTGTCTATCTTTCAAGCGCGTACACATGTCCCTTTCAGTTTTTATCTTGTATTTCTTCCCTTTTGTCTCTCCTTGCATCTCTGTCCCCCTCTTTCGTCCCCCCCCCCCCGTCCTTCTCACTCCCGGTCTCTCCCTCGCCCTTCCTCTCCGCCCCGGATCAGATAAGCCCTGTGTACCCAGCAGCCCCTTCACAATTGCCAAAAAAGGTTATCGAGTGAATGACGGTGAGATTATGCCTGGAGGATTTCCCAGGAGATCGGCTGATAAAATGAAGTATTAAAAAAAAAGAAACTCAGCATTCCTGTGCATGATGCATGATGGTGTTGATATGCATATTCATGATGAGGAAGTATGCTTTCAATGTCTTTTATGAATGATATAATAATATTTCGAGTAAGGGTCACTAAAACTACTGTCCCTAAAATTACCATCATTATTGTTTCATATAATATTACTATCATCATTTTACATTATAATATGATTATTTTTCTAGAAAATGTTACTGATACATTTATCATTACAAATATGACCGCTGAATACCTTTGATATACACTACTGATCGTTAAGAACATCATAAACCATCTTTGATAAGTTTACAATCATGACTATGACGAAAAGTCATGCCGTTCACATCACCACTACCACGATTACAATAGAGCAATACTACTACGCCTTCTATCATCACAAAAGATACTACTACGACTACTATTACTACTACTATTGACTAGATAAAACTGGCTATGGAAAAGACATCGACTTCGGAAATGTTTGTAAAAGTATATTTTAAATACGTGCTATTTGGTGCGCGAAAGAATGCAGCTTCGAAAATATGCGGATATTGATCTGGGGGACAATGTTGAGATCAACGGTCACAATCTATCATGGTCTCACACACACACACACACACACACACACACACACACACACACACACACACACACAGGGAGATAGATAGGGAGAGGGAGGGAGGGAGGGAGGGAGAGAGAGAGATAGAGGGAGAGAGAGAGATAGAGGGAGAGAGGGAGGGAGGGAGGGAGGGAGGGAGGGAGTGAGGGAGGGAGGGAGGGAGGGAGAGAGAGAGATAGAGGGAGGGAGGGAGGTAGAGGGAGGGAGGGAGGTAGAGAGAGAGAGAGATAGAGGGAGGGAGGGAGGTAGAGAGAGAGAGAGAGAGAGGGAGGGAGGGAGGGAGGGAGAGAGTGAGAGTGATAGAGGGAGGGAGAAAGAGAGAGAGAGATAGAGGGAGGGAGGGGGAGAGAGAGAGAGAGAGAGAGAGAGAGAGAGAGAGAGAGAGAGAGAGAGAGAGAGAGAGAGAGAGAGAGAGGGAGGGAGAGAGGGAGGGAGGGAGAGAGAGAGAGAGAGAGAGAGAGAGAGAGAGAGAGAGAGAGAGAGAGAGAGAGAGAGAGAGAGAGAGAGAGGCAGAGGGGCAGAGAAAGAGAGAGAGGAGGCAGAGGGGCAGAGAAAGAGAGAGAGGAGGCAGAGGGGCAGAGAGAGAGAGAGAGGAGGCAGAGGGGCAGAGAGAGGAGGCAGAGGGGCAGAGAAAGAGAGAGAGGAGGCAGAGGGAGAGAAAGAGAGAGAGGAGGCAGAGGGGC